CCTTCCCTCCTCCCTCCCTCCCTTCCTTCCTCCCTCCTTTCTTTCTCTCCTTCCTTCCTCTTTCCTTCTTCTTCCCTCCTTCTTCCTTCCTTCTTCTTCCTTCCTTTCCCTTCCTCTTTCCTTCCTTCCTTCCTCTTCTCTTTCCTTCTTCTTCCTTCCTTTTCCTCCTTCCTTCCTTCCTCCCTCCTCTTTCCTTCCTTCCTTTTCCTTCCTCCCTTCCCTTTTCCTTCCCTCCCTCTCCTTCCTTCCTCCCTCTTTCTTCCTTCCTTCCTTCTTCCTTCCTTCCTCCTTCTTCCCTCCCTCCCTCCTTCCCTACCTCTTTCTCTCCTTCCTTCCTCATTCCTTCCTTCCCTCCCTCCCTCCCTCCCTCTTCTCTCCTTCCTTCCTTCTTCCTCCTTCTCCCCTTCCTTCCTTCTTCCTTCCTCTCCTCCTTCCTTCCCTCCTTTTCCTTCCTTCCTTCCTTCCTTCCTTCCTCCTTCCTTCCCTCCCTCCCTCCCTCCTTTCTCTCCTTCCTTCCTTCTTCCTTCCTCCTTCCTTCTTCCTTCCCTCCCTCCCTCCCTTCCCTCCCTCCCTCTTTCTCTCCTTCCTTCCTTCCTTCTTCCTTCCTCCTCCCTCCCTCCCTCCTTTCCTCCTCCTTCCTTCCCTCCCTCCCCCCCTCCCTCCCCTCCCCCCTCCCTCTTTTCTTCCTTCCTTCCTTCCTTCCTTCCTCCCTTCCTTCCTTCCCCCTCTTCCTTCCTTCCTTCCTTCCTTCCTTCCTTCCTTCCTTCCTTCCTCCCTCCCTCCCTCCCTCCCTCTTTCCTTCCTTCCTTCCTTCCTTCCTTCCTTCCTTCCTTCCTTCCTTTCTTCCCTCCCTCCCTTCCTCCCTCCCTATTTCTCTCCTTCCTTCCTTCTGTCTTTCCTTCCTTCTTTCCCTCCCTTTCTTCCTTCCTTCCTTCCTTCCTTCCTTCCTTCCTTCCTTCCCTCCCTCCTCCCTTTCTTCCTTTCCTTCTCTTTCCCTCCCTTTTTTTCTTCCTTCCTTCCTTCCTTCCCTCCTTCCTTCCTTCCTTCCTTCCTTCCTTTTTTTTTTCCCTTCTCTTCTTCCTTCTTTCCCTCCCTCTTTCTCCCCCTCCTTCCTTCCTTCTTTCCTCCCTCTTTGAGATGGTTGAACAGAAGCTCTCCGAAGCTCTAGGTGCCCTTACTGCCTATTACAGGGAAAACCAGCTGATCCCTAATCCATCTAAAACACAGACATGTGCTTTTCATCTCAAGAACAGACAAGCATCCCGAGCTCTGAGGATTATTACCTGGGAAGGAATCCCACTGGAGCATTGCAGCGCACCCAAATACCTGGGAGTCACTCTGAACCATGCTCTGACCTACAAGAAGCACTGCCTGAACATCAAGCAAAAAGTGGGTGCTAGAAACAATATCATACGAAAGCTGACTGGCACAACCTGGGGATCACAACCAGACACAGTGAAGACATCTGCCCTGCTGCTGAGTATGCATGCCCAGTATGGAACACATCTCACCACACTAAAACAGTGGATGTGGCTCTAATGAGACATGCCGCATTATCACGGGGTGTCTGCGCCCTACACCACTGGAGAAATTGCACAGCTTAGCCGGTATTGCACCACCTGACATCCGCCAGGAAGTAGCAGCCAATAGTGAAAGGACCAAGGCAGAGACATCTCCAGCCCATCCCTTGTTTGGGTATCAGCCAGCACGTCAATAATTTAAATCAAGAAATAGTTTTCTACGATCTACAGAGACAAAAGAAGCCAATGGGATGTTGGCCTGCATCAAGAGGAGTCTAGTGTCTAGATCGAGGGAAGTCATGCTCCCCATGCTCTATTCCGCCTTGGTTAGACCACACCTGGAATATTGTGTCCAATTCTGGGCACCACAATTCAAGAGAGATATTGACAAGCTGGAATGTGTCCAGAGGAGGGCGACTAAAATGATCAAGGGTCTGGAGAACAAGCCCTATGAGGAGCGGCTTAACTGGGCATGTTTAGCCTGAAGAAGAGAAGGCTGAGAGGAGATATGATAGCCATGTATAAATATGTGAGAGGAAGCCACAGGGAGGAGGAGGGAGCAAGCTTGTTTTCTGCTTCCTTGGAGACTAGGATGCAAGAGCAATGGCTTCAAACTACAAGAGAGGAGATTCCATCTGAACATGAGGAAGAACTTCCTGACTGTGAGAGCCGTTCAGCAGTGGAACTCTCTGCCCTGGAGTGTGGTGGAGGCTCCTTCTTTGGAAGCTTTTAAACAGGGGCTGGATGGCCATCTGTCAGGGGTGATTTGAATGCAATATTCCTGCTTCTTGGCAGAATGGGGTTGGACTGGATGGCCCATGAGGTCTCTTCCAACTCTTTGATTCTATGATCTATGAGACACTTGCTGGAACACCCCAGCAAGCGAGAGTCCAAAAGTGGCAGGCTCAAACCCAGAACCTCAACCAATGTCTGATACCAAATGAGAGACTCCCCCCTGGGCACACAGAAGACTGGGCGACTTGGAAGGCGCTGAACAGACTGCGCTCTGGCACCACGAGATGCAGAGCCAACCTCAAGAAATGGGGCCACAAAGTGGAATCCTCGACATGCGAGTGTGGAGAAGAGCAAACCACTGACCACCTGCTGCAATGCACCCTGAGCCCTGCCACATGATGCACCATGGAGGACCTTCTTGCGGCAACACCAGAAGCACTCCAAGGGGCCAGATACTGGTCAAAGGACATTTAAGCAACTACCAAACTCACAAAATTTGTGTGTTTTTGTCTGTTTGTTTGCTTTGTTCTGTTAGAAATGTAATATAAGTGACAGGTTGCCTTGACACAACAAATAAATAACCCTGACCTGACCTAAAGAATTAACACTTCTACAAATTCCACATATCCTCCATACAATTTAGCAACAACAGGGCTCAGGTCGCATTGCAGCAGGTGGTCAGTGGTTGGCTCTTCTTCTCCACACTCGCATGTCGAGGATTCCACTTTGTGGCCCCATTTCTTGAGGTTGGCTCTGCATCTCGTGGTGCCAGAGCGCAGTCTGTTCAGCGCTTTCCAAGTCACCCCGTCCTCTGTGTGCTCAGGAGGGAGTCTCTCATCTGGTATCGGCCATTGATTGAAGCTCTGGGTTTGAGCCTGCCACTTTTGGACTCTCGCTTGCTGAGGTGTTCCAGCAAGTCATAGAATCATAGAATCAAAAAGTTGGAAGAGACCTCATGGGCCATCATCCAGTCCCACCCCATTTAAAGTCATGTCAACGCAAACAGCGGTGAAGAATTAGATGGTTATGTTTTCCCCTCCAAAATGTAACCTTCCGGGACATGCATTGTGATGATTGGCTAGGAGAGGAAGGTCAACATGGCCGCCGTTTCCTGAAGGAAGAGAGCAATGGCGCCTTCGGCTTCTTCCCCAAGGCCTTCTTCACACCGCTACGCTGGAGAGGTAATTGTTGTGGTTTTTAACAAAAGAAACCTATCTATCTATCTATCTATCTATCTATCTATCTATCTATCTATCTATCTATCAATCAAATGCTCTGTGCATAATGAGTACCTTAAAAGCAAAAGAACCAATGAACGAAATCACACCAAATTTGGCAACAAGACGTCTCACAACACAAGGAGTGACCATCACTCGAAAAATGATGATTTTGTCATTTGGGAGTTGTAGTTGCTGGGATTTATAGTTCACGGATATTCCATATGCCCAAATATGAACATACATGGAGTTTGGGGGAAATAGACCTTGACAATTGGGAGTAGTTGCTGGGATTTATAGTTCACCTACAATCAAAGAGTATTCTGAACTCCTCCAACAATAGAATTGAACCAAACTTGGCACACAATACTCCCATGATCAGTAGAAAATACTGGAAGGGTTTGGTGGGCATTGACCTTGGGTTTTGGAGTTGTAGTTCACCTACATCTAGAGAGCACTGTGGACAAACAATGATGGATTGGGACCAAACTTGGCACCGCTAGTATCATTATAAAGCAAATCAAAACGTTAAGCAATAACAGTAAACAGTAAAAACAATACACCATAACACAATAAAACTAGGGCCGGGCCGAATGTAATGGGTACAGATTAAAAAGTGCTGAGTATGACAGGTGAAATATAGGATTTTAGGGTGAAATATAGGATTTTAGGGTGAAATATAGGATTTTAGGGTGAAATATAGGATTTTAGGGTGATTGCAATGTGCAGACAATCTTAAATCTCTGGTAAAGTGCTTCTGGGACATATTGCTGGAGTTTCCTATTCTGGAAAGGCACACCAGAACAGCCAGGTCTTCAAACTTTTCCTAAAGACTGCCAGTGTAGGGGCTTGTGTGATGTCTTTGGGGAGGGTGTTCCAAAGTTGGGGGGCCACCACAGAAAAGGCCCTGTCCCTTGTCCCCACCAGACGCGCCTGCAACGCAGGTGGGATCGTGAGCAGGGCCTCTCCGGATGAACAAAGAGAACGCGTGGGTTCATAAACGGAGATGCAGAGATGATCAATATCTAATATTTCACAGTAGGAGGTAGGAGAAAAGCCAATGCATATAGTTACAGTTATTATATCTAATTTTTAATTTCTGTTACTTATTTTCATGACTGAATGACTGAATGTATTTTAAAACATGACAATGTATTTAAAACTGAATGTATTAAAGGCAATGTACATAGTTATGGTCATTATATCTAATACTTAATTTCTATTAGTTATTTTCATGACTGACAATGTATTTAAAACTACTACTTCTTTTTCTTCTTATTGACACCAAAGCACAGTATGTCACAGCAAACGAGATCTCTCTGCTGGATTTCATATCACAAAATCACAGGTCGAACCCTTCCCAAGAGTCTGGGACTGTGTGATGTATTTTCGAATGATGCGCGCAGATCCAAGTCAGGTGGCCTTTTGCAGTTGACAGATCGTGATTTTGTCAATGTTTATTGTTTCCAAATGCCGGCTGAGATCCTTTTGGCACGGCACCCAGTGTGCCATTGACCACTGGGACCACCTGGGCTGGTTTATGCCATCAGAGCCTTTGAGGTCCTGATCATGGCTGAGCTTTTCCTGTTGTTTGTCCTCAATGCGACTGTCACCTGAAATGGCGACATCACGCAT